TCAAAGCCTGTGGGGAAAACACCAAATATCTATTAACTCTTGAATAAAAATCTGGTGGTATATGTATATAAGGTAACACATTCAGCATTAAAAAGAAGGAAACCACTCAGACATGGAAGAATAAGGATGAATTGCCAAAGCATTATGTTAAGGAAAGAAGATAAAAATACCACAGGCAGTATGATTTAACTTATCTGAACTTCTAGAAAATGCAAAACTACAGTGACCTAAATCAGATCCATGGTCACCAAGGAGGACAGGAGGCTTGGCAGGCTGGGAACAGAGACTGATGGTGAGGGTATATGAAGGAACTTAGTTGAATGGAAATCATTCTGTATGTTGATTTTGGTGGTGATTACATGGCTGCCTAGATTTGCCAAAGCTCATCAAATTGTATGCTTAAAATGAGTTGATTTTTTTATTTTTATTTTTTATTTATTTATTTATTTTATTTTTCTTTTTATTGCATTTTAGGTTTTGGGGTACATGTGAAGAACATGCAAGATTGTTGCATAGGTACACACATGGCAGTGTGGTTTTCTGCCTTCCGTCCCCTCGCCTGTATCTGTCATTTCTCCGCATGCTATCTCTTCCCACCTCCCCACCCCCCGTCCCTCCCCCATTTCCCCCCAACGGACCCCAGTGTGTAGTGCTCCCCAATGTAAATTATTAAATAAAGATGTTAAAAAGATAATAAACTTTAATGTACACGGATGTAAAATGTATGACATAAATAGAAAAAAACAATGGGAGTGGAAAAATAGAAGTATATTGTTTTAAGGTTTTTATATTTTACCTTATGAGATGGTATCATACTATTTGAAAGTTGAATTCAAAAAGGAGGTAAGTTAAAGTTATAAGTAGATAAGTTAAAATTCATATTATAAACTGAGAAAGTACTAAAAAAACCTAGAATTTGTAGCTAAGAATCCAGTAGTGGAAATAAAATGAAGGGCTAAAATATATTCAGTTAGCCCAAAACAAGGTAGGAAAACAGGCAAAAAAAGAATAAATTACAAAATGGAAAAAGAGAAAATCGCATGATGGTCATTTTATATCCAACTACTGATGTGTACATTATACATAAGTGGTCTAAAAACTCCAACTGAAGGTAGAAATTACAGAGTAAATAAAAAAGCAAGACTCAAATGTAAGTTTTAAATACAAATATGATTTAAATATAAAACACATAGATTAAAAGGATAGAAAAATACATATCACCCAAAGCTCTAATCATAAGCGAGAGGAGTTCTGTTAAGGGGAAAAGAGTCAAAGTGGTGAGAAATGGGAGAAATGATGGCATGTATAGATGATACTGAAATAATTGGAACAACAAAAAAGAAAAAGTGATGTGAGGGAAAAAGGGGAGAATTGTGGGAGCAATGCTCTTGAGAAGGCTTGATCCTTTATGGACCTAGCACACAAGGAGAGGACGTCCGCAGAGACAGGAGCATGGAGAGTGCATCCAAGTAGACAAGCGGGCCACCTTCACGCTTTCCTACATATCATCCTGTCCTCTCCAATGCTTAGACCTCCACTTATTTTTTCTCTTCCCTTTTTTGATATTGTGTTGTCTAGAACATTCAGAACTATGTTGAAATATAGCAATGCTATTAGAAATCAGTCTTTTCTCTTAATGACATTTTGAATGTGTTACTTCTGATATACTGATTCCCTTGTCACTGTCATTGACACTTAAGGAAACAGGTGGAAAGCTACTTTTTTCAGGCTTATTCTAGGCTAATCAACTTGGGATTGCAGACAGGTGAGCTAGGCAATAAGGATGTGCACCAAGGGCACACTTCTATACACACTCTAAAGCAGGAAGCCTCCCATGCCAATTCGGTCTTATGCTGAGTATTGATTTATAAAACCCGCTCTCCTCCATTGTCCTGGCTCCTTCAAAGTCCTACTTTTCCCATGGGTCTTCTCCCCAAAAGTCCTTAATACTCTCTAGGGGCTACTTTCTTTTCCCTTAAAATTTAGGAAGTAAAACTCATGAAGATCCTCCCCACCTCTTAGCCCAGGAATGATGGCATGGTAACAAAAGCAAATAAGTATAATTGACTAGGTGGTTGAAAAGCTCCTAAATCTTTGCTTTGCAGTGCAAATTCATCTAACTAACAATGTGTTTGAAGTCTCTGCTCTGATGTCTTATAGACTCTCAAACATATTTCCAAAGTAAACTTTTGTTTTCATCTCCAAAGTCTCTTCCTCTCAGTCGTCTCAGTTGCTAGTAATGTGTTGCTTCCTTTCACCCAGTTGCTCCAGTTGGTGCCCTGGATCACCATCGATGATCCTGTGACATTAGTGCTCTCTTACTTAATGCCATTCATACTGGAGATATTGTGGCAGTTGTTATTTCTTTATCTCTTTATCTCTATGTTTTTTAAGCTCCATGTCTGACTCACAATAGACAATATTTTCTTTGTAAATGAATGAAGTTCCTCAATATCATTTATCTATCTATCTATCTATCTATCTATCTATCTATCTATCTATCTATTTATTTTTGAGACAGAGTCTTGCTCTGTTGCTCAGGCTGGAGTGCAATGGCATGATCTCAGCTCACTACAAACCTGACCTCCTGGGTTCAAGCAATTCTCCTGCCTCAGCCTCCCAAGTAGCTGGGACTACAGGTGCCCACCACCAAGCCTAACTAATTTTTGTATTTTTAGTAGATATGGGGTTTCAGTATATGGGTCAGGCTGGCCTCAAGCTCCTGACTCAGGTGATCCACCTGCCTCAGCCCCCCAAAGTGCTGGGATCCACAGTGCCCAGCCTTAATATCATTTATTAATGAGCCCTTCCAATCCTTCTTGATTAGGAATTTTTGGCTATCACAGGCTGAAACATGCCTGGATCATGAATTGCATTTCTAGTCTACTAGTTAACTCTGCCTTTTAATATAATAGAATATAATTTCAGTGGCTGCAACTTTGAGAATTAAAAATTTGAAGGTAACTCCATTAATACTTGAAGGTAACTCCATTAATACCTTGATTTGTTTTTGGACATTTTGTCTTATGCTTCTGGATGAATTTTGTTACCCATTTGTATAAAATATCTTGCTGAGATTTTACATTTAAGTGTTTTTAGAAATGGAAAACACTGGGTTGGATGAGGTGGCTCATGCCTGTAATCCCAGCACTTTGGGAGGCCGAGGCGGGCAGATTGCCTGAAGTCAGGAGTTCCAGACCAGTCTGGCCAACACACCATGAAAGTTAAAATCAAGACAGAGACTGGGTGAAAATATTTGCCATACATAGATGGGTGTATATATACACAAACATATATAAACCCATACATACTGATATATTCATATGTATAAATCATGTATGCAATAATATTTAGAATATATAAAAAGCTTCTAAGTAAAGCACCAAGCCAGATTCCCTGTCTAATCCAACATCAAGTATTTATTTATTGGGAATTGACTGTGCCAGCCACTGTGTAAGACACTGGAAATACAACAGTGATACAACACAGACAATAAAACAAGTAAATAAATAAACAAGGTATAAATTGTGCCAAGAGCAGGGGAGAAAATAAAGGGGCAGTACAATAGAACAGAAGTCCTAAGCTGCTGGCCTGGGACCCAGATGTAGCCTGATGACTTGCTCAGCTTGCAGAGAGCTTTTTACAAAAAAATTTAGACCAACATCTAAAAATCCAGACATTTTATGTAAAACCAACATTTCTGACTTCCCTTTAAAAATTAGATTTGGGGGGCCAGGTGGGGTGGGTCACACCTGTAATCCAAGCACTTTGGGAGACTGAGGTGGGTGGATGATGAGGTCAGGAGTTTGAGACCAGCCTGGCCAATATGGCGAAACCCCATCTCCACTAAAAATACAAAAATTAGTTGGGCATGCTGGCAGGCACCTGTAATTCCAGCTACTCAGGAGGCCGAGGCAGGAGAATCACTTGAACCTGGGAGTCGGATGCTGCAGTGAGCTGAGATCGTGCCACTGCATTCCAGCCTGGGTGACAGGGGCAAAACTCTGATTCAAAAATAAATAAATAAAATAAAATAAAGAAATGGAAAACACTGACAACACTTTTAATACTATTGAGCTAGCATGAAAATTGAGGGCACACTTGTCTGGTTTTTGTTTTCAATATAATCCAATAATTATGGTGCTCCTTTTTAGGTAATTTAATTTTTAAAGTGTTAAATAATTATAATTTGTATTTTAACAAATGCCAAGTCAACATCTGTAAGGTGAAGATTTTAAAAAAGTTACCTTTTTGCCGTAATGTGTTCTGATTATTATTATTATTATTATTTTTAAGTTGTAAGGTATTTATCAGACACTATGGCAAACAGGATTTTTTAAATTGCATTTTATGTTTTGGGGCACATGTGAAGAACATGCATGATTGTTGCATAAGTACACACATGGCAGTGTGATGTGCTGCCTTCCTCCCCTTCACCTATATCTGGTATTTCTCCCCATGCTGTTCTGATTATTATTTTGCGGGTGTTGTGACCAATTCCCATTCCTGGGGTCAAATTTTATGTTGTATAATATTTAATATGTTATATTCGTTTGTTCAGATTTGTTTAAAAGGAAAGAAATAAAAATGAGACTTTCCCTGTCATGTAATGTGTGCATTTATATACGAAAAGATTGCCATCTTTGACAAATATCCTGAATAATCCTTTCTTGTAGGAAATACTATTGGACTAGCAGGTCTTTTCACAGGCTGGGAGAAGAACTGTCTTTAAATGGTAGACTGTGAGATCATCCACATCACAGGATACTGGAAATGAAAGGCACCTTCAGGATTTTCTAGTAATAGCTGCTTATTTTATGGGAGAGGAAACAGGCCCACAAAGAAGGAAAGCTTAGACAAAGTCAGAATGAGTTTATGACCTAATAATGCAGGTTCTCCCATGCTACAGTGCTGTTCTTTGAAACAAATGCAGTATCACACTTGGAAATTCTGTCACTACTCATTCCACAGCCCAGGAAGAACCAGGAGGGCAGGTCTTTTACGTCACATTTATTTCATCAGCTGTTTGCATGCTGGTTTCTTTGCTTTGGTGGTTGGAATGTGATTGGGTCTCATGTGATTTCTCAGTTTCCAGTTTTAGCCGTAGACCCTGGCATCTCCACTTATGGGCACCACACTCTCTTCTAGGTTCAGTGATGATGTCTGCCTAATATCTTCCCCTTTTCCAGCAACTGAAGCTGTGCTGTAGATGTCACGGTCACATGGATGGGAATAAAAGAAATTTATTCTCCTCCCTGCTAGACAATTTACTAGGCAGGTGACCCTGAGAAAAGGCAGTCCTCGTGGCGATGCTTCTACCCTTGTGACCCCCTCCCAAGACATCCGACAGGAACTAAGGTGAAGACCACATTCTCTCTGTGTACTTTCCACTTCAGCATCTTTGCTATCCTACACTTGCTGTCCATGTCACACTAGGACCTTCCTGCCTACAATCTGAAGCCAAACTGGGTTTTGATCGAGGTTTTGTGCGTGTGTGTATTACATTCAGCAAAATATAATCTTAATGCTAAAATACTGAAACAGGATAAAATATTTCAAAGGGGGCTATTCAAGAAGATGCAGAATCACTGTACTTAGACACAGGCAGACGAAACCCATTTTCTCCATCACCTATAACCCAGATTATTTCTTAAAAGGAACAGCTAATGAGCCCTAGAGAAGGCCATATAGAGGGCATGGCTAGTATAGTTTATGCCACAGGGTGAGCGCCTGAGACAGTCTTCTCCAGGTGAGTTTGGTGTCAGATGAGCCTATGGAGCAGGAGAGTGAAAGGGCTTAGGGAAATGGCCTGCCACTTAAACAGTGCCTTTGGGGAAAGCATACTCAAGTGCTTTGTGAAAGAAAACCCGGACGAGGGAGCCTATAAAGGACAGACTGTGTTTGATTCTTGGTACTGAATTAAGCCCCCAAAGTAGTGTAAGTTTCTAGAGCACTTTCCAGAAGGAATGATGGGCCTCACATCCATTAGTGTGTTTTAAAACTTTCCACCTTTCCATCTTTTTATCCCACAACTGTTTGTTCCTGATTCCTGAACACTATCCACACCTGATGCACTGTTTGGATCTTTGTCTTGATCACAGAGACCAAAAGAACCTGGCCTAGCCCTGCCTTCACTTGTCCACCCCCTCACCCCATAGCCCCTTGTATGACTGCACCTGCTCCATGGGGTGCTGCCCTGCCATAGATGAGGACCTATGAGGCCTGGGTTCCCGACTGCCACAGACGGGCAGGGTGGAGCTCAGGGGAAAAGCCGCCTGGGTAAAACACCTGGCTGAAGCAGAGATGTCCTTCTTCCTTGATTCTACAGTTAGGGTCCAGGGTAGTAAGCTGACTGACTGGAGAGCTGCATCTTCACGTGGTGGACACGATCTCCTGATGGCTGCTCTCTAGTGCTGAACTGCAATCTTCTCAACTTTGGGGTCATGCAGGAATCTGGAAGCTTTATGCTTCTGTGCCAAATAAGAGGAAGTTGTGGACACATGAGGGAAAGATATCTTGCCCTTTCAGCCCCCTCCCTGGCCTCCACTACCCTAGGGATCCTATTATTATACTCTACTGAGAATGGGCATCTCTGGCTCTGGGAGTTGCAATTTCCTGTTGGATGCATGGCTCACAGGAAAATGCCCTTGTTGGGTGGGCTTTAGGAGATGAACCTATTCCAGCCTATGTTTTTATCAGGACAGTTCCTCCTGCTTTACTCAGAGGAATAATAAAATTAAATAATATCATATATCTGAAAGGATTTTGACCAATCAAAAGCGCTCCTCATATGCAAAGATTTATAATAGTTACATTTAGAATTTTGTAAATATGAAATCACTTTTCATGTATTCCTTCCATGGTTTCAGCACTGAGCAAGTTAAAGCATAACAATCCATTTCTTTTTTCTTTTTCTTTTCCGTTCTTTTTTTTTTTTAGCAATCCATTTCTTTAAAACGAATGGCTTTATTTCATGAGAGTTAATTTTCTGATATAGAGACAAATTCTGTTCAAACAGGAATCTAAGGAGTTCACCTTTTCCATTTACTGGTTTGGGAAAAACCGTAACATGTCAAGTTAATTTTTTTTTTAAACACTATGTTCTCTGAGGAACATAGTGCTGCTGTCTTTCTTGACTACCTAGTTCTATCTCTCAGTTGCACTATTGAAAAGTCTTTCCTCCCAATGTCTAATGTAAATCTGTGTTGCAGTAGCCTGATCTTTTTTCTCCTCATCTTGTTATGGAAGAGAAAGCGACATCTCCCAATATTAGGGCACTGGGGTCTCAAACTTTTGTTAATTTTCTTTATAACTTTCTTCTAAGTCCCCGTTTTTTTTTTTTTTTTTTTTTTTTGAGATAGGGTCTTACTCTGTTGCCCAGGCTGGAGGGCAGTGGCACGATTATGGCTCACTGCAGTCCTGACTTCCCCAGACTCAGATTATCCTCCCACCTCAGCTCCAGAGTAGCTGGGACTACAGGCGTGCACCACCACACCTGGCTAATTTCATATTTTTTTGTGGAGACAGGTCTCACGGTGTCGAACTCCTGGGCTCAAGCAATCCAACCACCTTGGCCTCCAAAAGTACTGGGATTACAGGTGTGAGCCACCCCATGCCCAGCCTACATCTCTGATTCTTTATTCCTTCTTTGCAGCTTTCCTTTCCTAGCTGTCATTCTGTGTTCCCTTGTTCCCTCAACTGAGTTGAGATAATTTCTTAAAATCTCTTATGGTGAGGTTCAGGGCTGATCCTGAGATCCCAGAGATTTCTGATGGGGCTGAGGATAGAGGAGGAAGCCCAGGCTCTGTAGTTCATCACAAGTAGAGATAGTCAGGTTGGGGAGGGGGGAACTTCTTGCCCTTAATGTGTATTGGAAGCACAGGCTTCTGAAGAAGTCTCAAGGCTCAGAGCTAGCTATACTCACGGCTAAGCGTACCCACATCCAGGCGGGTGCCATCTCCCTTGGACCTTGTCAGAATATGGACACTTACCCAGTTCTGGGTGCGGATGTCATGGGTGTCATGGAGCAGTTGCTCATCCCTGAAGTGGACACAGAAAAAAGTCCTTCTGTTACAGAGTCCTGGACATGTCTCCCCAGCTGCCCAGCTCACATTCCTGGTTTGAAGTGTAGCCAAAGTGGGAGGGGCCAGACTTGAAGGGACACTGAGGTCCTAACAAGCCCGATAGAGAGGCAGTTGCAGAATGTGGCACCAGAAATCTGGCCCCCTGTGAAGCAGAGGGAATCATGGCCACTGAAGCTCTGTTCATCCAGGGCTGGGAACAGAGTGCTTCTGTCCCCTTGCTACTGGAGCAAGTCCCTGGTAGCTCACCTCTTATCTCCATTTATTTTGTATGAAAAATTGATACAATGAGACTTGAATTCTCCTCATCTCACCCTGGATTTCACCCTCCCATCTTTCAGGAAGTGGAAAGGCAATAGCAGCAGTTAGATCCTAAATCCACATTAAAAAAAAATTATACTTTAAGTTCTGGGTACATGTGCTGAACATGCAGGTTTGTGCATAGGTATACATGTGCCATGGTGGTTTGCTGCATCCATCACCCCGTCATCTACATTAGGTATTTCTCCTAATGCTATCCCTCCCTATCCCCCCACCCCCTGCTATCCCTCCCCTAGGCCCCCACCCCCCAACAGGCTCCAGTGTGTGACGTTCCCCTTCCTGTGTCCATGTGTTCTCACTGTTCAACACCTACTTATGAGTGAACATGTGGTGTTTGGTTTTCTGTTATTGTATCAGTTTGCTGAGAATGATGGTTTCCAGCTTCATCCAAGTCTCTCCAAAGGACATGAATGCATCCTTTTTTACGGCTGCATAGTATTCCATGGTGTATATGTGCCACATTTTCTTTATCCAGTCTATCATTGGTGGGCATTTGGGTTGGTTCCAAGTGTTTGCTATTGCAACAGTGCCGCAATAAACATACGTTTGCATGTGTCTTTATACTAGAATGCTAAATCCACATTTTTATATCCCAGGTAATCAGGCGGGAGTTCCCAGGGCCCTGCTGTGAACTATTTGGAAATCAGCCTTCTAAGGATGAAGGAGAGCACTCTCCAAGCTGAGGTAAGCTGGGCTTTTTTGACCTTTTGACAAAAGTATTTCACAAACCTCTGGATCAGCATCTAAGAAAAGTGTTTCACGAGCCTCTGGATCTCACAGTGGAGGCCATAGTTCCTTGTTCTGGAGTGGAGGTGATGGGCCAGGTTTGGGGAAAGATCAGAGGGAGTCTTCTCTGGAACTGTCTGTATTTAAAGATCTCCAAGAAGATTTGTACTCTTAAGGAACTCAGTTTTGTGGCAGGGCTGAAAAAGCATAGAGTGGTTCCAATGCCAGAGAGACCCCAAGAGAAGTCAGTATCTCCTTCAGATTTCCTCCTCTCCCTGACTCTTATATCCACAACTGAAGGCTTCTCACCCCTTCCGTGGGCTATAAAAATCCTTGAGTTCAATCTTATTTACTTCTGACTTTGGAGGCTCTCTCTTTGGGCTCAGTCATATATATCCTTGATAATCAGTGGGATTTGAGAGCTGGGAGCTTTGGCACCATACGGGAGTCTCCAAGAGATACAGAATTTCAGAATTCAAGCCTACCCTAGACCCGCTGAATAAGAATTTGCTTTTTAACAAGGGACCCAGGTGATCTGTATATACACAAAAGTTTGAAAAGCCTCAATTTATAGGTTCTTTCTTGGAGGGGTGAAGGAAGGAGTTCCAGCTATGTCTTTTCTGCTGTAATTCTAGGCTCCTAGGTATTTTGAGTATTTTCTTGAAGTGCTAGAATTAGCATCTGGGCGTTTGAAAACTGTAACCTGACCACTCTAGCCTCCCTGCCACTCCATCCCTGTGCCAGCCTTGGAAAGCTGTTCCCCTTTGCTGTGCTTGCTGTCTTTACTGCCAAGAACCATATCTAGCCGAGGGCTGAGAGTGCTCTCAGGCCCTCAACAGCCATTCCAAGGGAGAAAAAGATTCTTCCATCCCTGTCCACGTGCTGTAGACTGAAAGCCTACGTCCCCTCCAAATTCATATATTGAAACCTAATCCCCCAAAACAATGATATTAAGGTGTGGAACCTTTGGGAGGTAATTTGATTATGAGGGTAGAGCCCTTATGAATGAGATTAGTGTCCATTTGAAAGAGAATATGGAGAATTCCTTTACTGCTTCCTCCATGAGAGGACACAGTGAAAAAGTTGGCTCTCTATTAACTGGGAAGCAGGGGCTCAACAGACACCAACGCTGCTGGCACCTTGATCTTGGAGATCCCAGCCTCCAGAACTGTGAGGAATGTTTCTGTTGTTTATAAACGACCCAGTCTATGGTATTCTGTTCTAGCAGCCTAAAAGGCTCAGACACGAGGTAATTGAGCTGGACAGAGGAGAGACTTGCATTGCTTATGAAATGAACGCTTTAGGAAAGCCAATCCCTAGCTTGGTTGAAGAGGGGAGGGGGAAGGAAAAGGAGGGCCTGAACTCGGGCTGGAAGCGAAATGGAAGATCCTAGGGTGAGACTTTGGGATGAACTCCACATCTCACTTCTTAGCGCCATTTTTCTTGCTGTGGAAAATGGACGCAATGAGACTTGAATTCCAAATCCTCTCCCTTGTTTCCTTACCCAAACCTTGGAATGGTGCTCTTTTACCTCGAATCCGAGCATCTTCCTGCAGCTGAAAAATAACGAGAACACAGAATCAGATGGTGGGGGCTGGTCTCCTGCGGACCTGTAGTGTCCTCGCTATAGACTTGGTCAAATGCAGGGATGTCTGTTTGGGAGAATATGGGCTTCTTGGACGCGAAACTCCAGGATTTCTTTCTTTCTTTTCTTGAGATGGAGTCTCACTCTGCCATCTAGGCTTGAGTGCAGTGGCGTGATCTCGGCTCACTGCAACCTCCACCTCCCAGGTTCAAGGGACTCTTCTGCCTCAGCCTCCCCAGTAGCTGGGATTACAGGTATGCACTAGCATACAGGGCTAATTTTTGTATTTTTAGTCGAGATGGGGTTTCACCAGGTTTCATCTGGCTACCTCGGTCTCCCAAAATGCTGGGATTGCTACCCAGGCACTTTGGCCACCGTGCCCAGCCAAAATCTCAAGGTTTCTGAAAGCACAATTTGTATTGTTTTTGTATCTCACACTTCATATAGCATATGCTCAATAAATGTCTTTTGAATAATGAATGCATAAATAAATAGGAGCGAGCAGTGTCTCTTTAGGGGTGGGAGACACACAATTCGATACAGTCATAACTACTCATACCAAGACCTCACATCTTTATTCTTTCTGACCCTCCTGCTGTGTCTTTTCTGGGCCTTTTTACACTCCCCATTGAGTCTCCAGTGCTTCTCTGTAGAGAAGCTTTAAGTATGTGTAAAGGATTTTAAAAAAATTCTTTCTTGGCTGTGTGCAGTGGCTCACGTCTAATTCCAGCACTTTGGGAGGCTGAGGCGGGTGGATCACCTGAGGTCAGGAGTTCGAAACCAGCCTGATCAACATGGTGAAATGCCATCTCTACTAAAAATGCAAAAATTAGCAGAGTGGTGACACATGCCTATAATCCCAGCTACTCGGGAGGCTGAGGCAGGAGAATCACTAGAACTCAGGAGGCGGAGGTTGTGGTGAGCCGAGACTGTGCTACTGCACTCTAGACTGGACAACAGAACAAGACGCTGTCTCAAAAAAAAAAAATCCTTCTTAGGAAGGGCACAGTGCCTCATGCCTGTAATCTCAGCACTTTGGGAGGCCGAGGCTGGCAGATGGCTTGAGTCCAGGAATTTGAGATCACCCTGGGCAACAGAGAGACAAAGAGACAAAGAGAGACAAAGAGAGAGACACTGAAATCTATAGAAGGAGAGCAGAGGAAGAGGTTTTATTTCTATTTACCCAAGAAGGTTAGCCCTGGTCTCTAATTCACACTTCCCTGAAGTTAACAGACATACTCACCTAATAAGGCAGTTTATTATATCACTAGGGGATTCTTCCCAACTATCACTTATCAGCATTTCATACAACCACAAAGAGTATCTTTGCTGAGAGAAGTTCTAGCAGATACGATTTCCTGTCTATATGACTACATTTCCTCAAGGGGACTGTTAGGCATCTTCTTGCCTTAGCTGCCCGGACTGATAAGTCAGCGGTACTCTTTAAGGGAGAAATCACTAGAAAAATAAATAAAGCTGAAACCTTGGTCAGAGGCAACATCTCAGTAGGGTAAGGAAAAATTGGGATCAGGGCACATGACGGGGCTGGGGAACTCCGAGAGTCAAAATCTAATCTCACCTCCTTTTGTATATTCTTAAAAGCTGTCAGCACCTGACAGAAGACAAAGATAAAGAAACATTAATATAGATGATCACTGTATTACAGAGGAATTTAGTTACCTAGTCTCCTAGCCACTAGGCTGTAGAATGTAAATGCCAAGAGACTGTGGCTTTGTAGCTCTAGCAATAAATCCTCACTGATTTCCACTCTACAGAAGTAGAGTGGGCCGCCGTTTCTCCATATGGTAAATGGGCAAACTACAGTAAAGTATTTAAAGAGGACTGGGCTGTGCATGGAATGTATAATGAAACCTACTGCTATATTTCTTTTCTGTCTAATTGGTTCTTATTCTGAAGCTTAGTATAGGTATTAAAATCAACAGGCATTTAGGTTATAATGCACTGGATGTTCATGAGGTTGTGGAATAGCTGAAACTCTTGCGCATCGTTGGAGGGAGTGTAAAATCATATGCTCACTTTGGAAAAAGTCCTGGCACTTTCTTTCTTTGTTTTCATTTTCTTTTTTGGCTGTAAGTTTATTCAATGCAAAAGAATCCTCCCTAGTTTTCCTGAGGTGGCTGACCATGTCTCCCGAATCTGCCAGTTGCTGATCCAGCCCCAGCGTCAGCTTTCTTGTCGCCACCAGGGGGCGCAGCACTCCGTAGGTGTCTCTGTTGGCTTCCCCTCTTGTGAGTCTTGCAGGTCGCTCAGCCTCCAGACCTTTAGACCGAGGCCTGCCAGTCTCTGGATGGCTGTGGCATAGAGTGACAGGCACAATCTCTGGGGGCAGATGAAGGTAATCACGGAGATACCGGATACCCTCCTTGATAAGGTACCAGTAGAAATGTCTCCAAGGCAAACTGTTCCTTCACATAGCCTCGGAACTTGAGAGACAGTATGGCCTTCATGACTGCCAGCTCGTCTGCCAGCTCCTGGTGTTAGCCATCTGGACATCCTTCCTGGCCACCAGGACTCCCTCTTTAAAAAGGAGTTCATAAATGGCAATCCAGTTCTTCTTAGGCATCAACACTTGGGTGGCTGTAGGGTCTGGGGCTGGGGCTGGGGCTGGCAGTTCCTTCCCTCCCTCCCTCCCTCCCTCCCTCCCTCCCTCCTTGCTTCCTTCCTCTCTCTCTTTCTTTCTCTCTTTCTCCCTCTCTTTCTTTCTTTCTCTCCCTGCCTCCATCTTCCTTCCTTTCTTTATTTTTTTCCTTCCTTTCTTTCTTCTTTTCTTTTCTTTTCTTTCATCTCACTCTGTCACCAGGCTGGAGTGTAGTGGCATGATCTTGGTTCACTGCAACTTCTGCCTCCCAGATTCAGGTGATTCTCCTGTCTCAGCCTCCTGAGTAGCTGGGACTACAGGTATACGCCACCACACCCAGCTAATTTTTGCATTTTCAGTAGAGATGGGGTTTCCTCTTGTTGGTCAGGATGGTCTCAATCTCCTGACCTCATGATCCGTCCGCCTCGGCTGTCCACCTACTGTACTACCTAGCTGTGTATGGATCCAGTGACTGTTGGAACTGTGGCTTTTCTCCCTTGGGAGAAAGTGTGAGAACTTTTAGATAGTTGTATCTTGTTTGGTGGAAATATAGTGTAGATGTTCAGGAGTTTCCATTTGTGTATAAGGGTACATATGGAAGATGAATGAATGGTCAAAGGGGTAGAGCGTGCTCAGGATCAATTCGTTGCCTCTCAATGATCAATTCATTTCCCTTTGTTGACCCTTTGTTATAAGTATCTGATTGTTCACTTGTTCTCAACAGGGTGGTCTTCTGACCCTTACACAAACAACTTACTCTTTAGCTAATACAACAACTGTAAGAACATGAAATAGTTATGATACTGTATAGCATTATAATTAAGATTATTTCCTTATGTAAAGAGTCATTGAATATCACAGAGAATAAAACACGTTGGACACATTATTCATTTTATATAATATTGTACAGTGGGGGCTGGCACAAGAGTCGCTGGAGAATTTTACTCATTTTTAATCAGAAAGCCATGGTCATTGATTTAATTAAGTCTTTTCCTGCTCAGTTTCCAACATTATACATTCAAAAGTGATCAATTATCTTTTAATTCTCATCCGTATTCAAGGCTTTACAAGCAACGAATATGGTAAGATTGGGATGTTGATGTAGCTGGTATTTGTGTGAAGGCCTCTTAGAAACTCCAAGAAAATGTCTGTGTTCTAGGAAAGTTCACTACAGTTTGCTGTGGCTATCTTGTGGGCATTACTAGCTTCTGCGCACCTGTACCCTTCAACTATAAAGTGAAACTTGGCATTTTTATGTTTCTGAATTGAAACTGACATTTTCATGTTTGTGAAAGGCCAAGCCTGTGCTTTCAAGTCCATGGCAGTCACTGAGAACTGGGGATTAAACCCCCTTAAAACAAACAGGACCTGTGACAGCTTCAAACAAGTGGGGTCGGGAAGGGGCACTGACATGCACAGACACAAGGAGCTCTGAGGATATGAGACGGTGTCCTCAGAGCAACAGAATAAGGTGGGAGGGAGTGTGTTGATCCTTCACCACCAATCAACAAACTGCTCAAGGAAAGAGAAAGAAATGTGCACTTTCCTGAAGCCCTCCCCCGCCTCCCACCTCTCGCCGCGCTGTCAAAAATGATTCCTCTATACTCACCTGGTCCCACAAGGTTTCAGTAATGGTTACCTGTCTTTCCTGTAGAAATAAGGAACAAATGTTGGAAACAATATCCCAACTCTCCCAGAATCTGAAGGGACACATTATGAAACTGGTGGAAGAGAAGATATTTCTTGGAATTGAGCTGGGGACCCCAAATCACTCCATTTCTCAGGCAGCCAAAAGTTTCCTGCAGCCCTGCTGAGTCATTTTCATCCCATACGTCCTGCTTTGCTCTGGATCTAGCTGGTGGGTGACAAGTACAAGTAGACCCATCTGTGTACCACCGTGTCAATGTCTGTTCAGCCTGCTTGCCCCTGGAGTCGTCTGGTGACATGGTGACACTGGAGATGTTACCTGGTTTGGTAGACAATGACCCACCCCACCAGCCAGTCAAGAGCACCTTGTCCCTTGTCAGGTAGTCTTTTTTTTTTTTTTTTTGGCCTCCTGTCTACAACCTCTTTTCCTCCCCTCTCCCTAGGAATTAGGAGCCCCAGAGGATCCAGAGAATTTGGATACCTTACCCACCTGTGGTCTCATTGTCTCTTCTATGGATGTGCTGGAAAGAAAGAATGAAATATAACTGATGAGGAGCAGAGAACGTGGGCTAAAGGCTTCTCCTAACTATTCTATCACTCCTATCAGGAATTCTCGAAGTTTCTGTACTAAAAATTCAGGAAGGATAGCCAGGATCCTGCCTCTCACATTTCTTATGGGAGGTATAGGGAGAGGTGGGACCCTTGCCTCATCTTCCAAGCATCTTGACTGTTGTGGAAGCCCTCTGAGAACTCTAAACCATAGAACAATGGAAGTGAAGGCGATGGTCACTGTCATTCTCCTGCCTGCCTAATTTATGTCCACTCTCCACCCTTCATCCCACCTAACCTGTCAAACTTCCCAGGTTCCTCTTTGGAAAGTACACTCAGTTAGCAAACTGCTTCCCCAAAGGTGTTCTTTTCCTTCATGACGGATGACGGGGTGAAAATGGGGATGAGAGGCTGAGGAAGAAGTGGAAAGATTTTGCTTATTCTTGGCAGCACAACTGAAGCTCTCATTCCTAAATACCACCTAAGTCCTAAATCAGTACCAAAGTCACCTGGGAGGCGGCGTATACAGATAGACAGGTAACTGAAGGAGGAAGAAGGGTGAAAGCGAGTGGAATCTGGGGAACCCGTCTGCTCTCCTATGCTCGTGGATCCTGAGCAGACTCAGCCTCATCTCCTGGCCCTGTGCACACTTGACTAGGACAAAGGAAGCCAGGACATAGGTAATGAACTAGAGGAAGGAAGGGTAGGTTAATTACCTTCTAGAATTGTTTCAGGAGCTCTGGGGAAGAAACCTGAAAAGGGACCTTAAAAAAAGAGGAAAATGCGATAGAGGGAAGATGTTTCGGAAACCAATGATCCTTACATCTCTGGCCTGGAGTTCCTGCTAATACAGTTCTGCCATTAAAAAAAAAAATAAGTTTTTCTAAACAAGGGTAGGGAGGCCAATGATCACAGGGGGTCTGGGGACCCAGAATAGAGTAAAAACTGGGCCCTAGATGACACTGAAGTTCAAGACCAGCTTAAACAACATGGTGAGACCTCGTCTCTATAAAAAAACAAAAAACAAAAAACAAAAAACAAAACAACCCAACAACAACCAAATCAAACAACAACAACAGCGACAAAGGCCCAGCCAGGTGTGGTGGCAGGCTCTTGTAGTTCTAGCTTACTCAGGAGGCTGAGGCAGGAGTATCGTTTAAGCCTAGGAGTTTGAGGCTGCAGTGAGCTATGATTGCGCTGTATATATATGTATATATTCTCCAGCCTAGGCAACAGAGAAAGTCCCTGTCATTTAAATAAATAAATAAATAAATAAATAAATAAATAAATAAAAAGACATTAAGCCTAACAGATCTCTAGCTAAGAGGATACTTTTGATGAATATTGATAGCATGGGGAAATCTCCTTGGGAGCCACCATATCAGATGGCTCAGGGACACAATTCTGCCAGTTGGAGTGCTAGTTCTCCGTAGAACCTGGCAGAGCTATTACTCACTGCAATGAGTATCCAGGCCATGCCCCTAATTCTGAAAACATCCTTTTAATCTATTTATTGATATGTAATAATTGTACATATTTATGAGATACATGTGATAGCTTGATAATGCATACAATATGTAATGATCAAATCAAGAGTATTTAGGATATCCATCACCTCAAACATTGATGGGTTCTTTGTGCTAGAAACATTTCAGCTCTTCTCATCCAACTATTTTGAAATACATAATGAATTGTTGTTCATTATAGTCACCCTATTGTGCTATCAAACCCCAACCCTAAGCCTGTTTCCTCACCTATCAAACAAGAGGAGTAATCTTTCTGTCAAGGATTTCGGGGATGATCATATGCAAACCTTTGTAATTGTTAAGTTTTTCTTCAGGCATTATAGTTATTGTGTGTTATTTTTATGTCCTGTCCACTTCCACCATCAAAAAGCATCTGTTCATCAGCAGAAAAGCCGGGCTCTGGTGTGGTTTATATGCTTCCTCATATAGAAGTCTAGGAGACTCCACTATCTGCTCAGTATTTTCTCCGCAAGGTCCTGCAGCTGTCCGGAGGAGAATTCATACTCTTAGATAGAGCAGACTCCCAACTTCCCCCAGATTCAGGCTTCTCCGTTCCTTACTGGCTCTCAGGCTTGAGGCCCAGGTAACCTTTCTGAGCACTTTCATAGGTAGGCAGCTTAGAAACTTTCTCTTCCCAAATTTCTACAAACTCTTATCTCGAGACATCTGCTGCAAGTCAAAGGCTCCAGCCAACTTCTGATTCCTTTATGAAGCTTTTGTGACCCATAAGTTCACAGTAAACCCTCCTTTTTTTCTGACTTTATGGATACCCTCACCTGGGTCTCATATTTAGCCTCAAGCAGCAGATTCTAATTCTCTTTTCCATGCTAGGCCAAGAGAAGCTTGATTTTTGATGGTTGGCCTTGATTCACACTATAGGGGACATAAAGGACTTAAGGAAAATCAGTCCTGGAGTAAACGAATGTCTCTAGCTTGTATACGCCCCCAATTCCTAGAGGAATGGCAATGATGCCTGCTTTCTGAATTAGAATGGCAAAGATTTGCTATTGTTCCTTTCACTGAGGAGATGGAGAAGGGGGAGGACACACGAAAGTCCACATCTTATCCAGCAAGGAAGCAAGTGAAGCTAAACGAAGAGCGATGGAGACAGGAGGCCCTGGTTCTTCCCCCATGGAGTATAGCAATCTAAGGATGCTTGAGGGTCATCATTAGCCCCATTACCTTCTCTGCTGCTTGGAGGCCATTTCTGCCTTTCGTTGTTGATCCTGCCAGGGATGCTGTGCCATTTGTTCTCAGACAGAAACCAAGGACTCTGGGGCTGAAGATGGAGATAGCTCCAGGCCCTGGGGAGTCATAAATGAATCTGGGGAGAAGGTAGGCACATGGTGAGAAGAAAAGAGCTTATTCACTGGAGAACTACCAGGACAGATGTCTCAGCAGTTAATGAAACATCTGTGTTTTGAATGGGTGAGTGTGCTTGTGCACGTGTGTGCATGTGCACATGCATATATGTACATGTATGTGTGTATAAATGTGTAAAGAAAGATGAGGGTAAGAGGAGAGTAAGAGGAAGGAAGTATTTGCCCCTGGAAAAATCTTCCTATAGTCTTTGTCAGTAACAACAGAAATTGCAGTGAGAAAGTTGGTGAAAAATAACAGTTACCTGAGACTGTGGATGGGGCATTGGCCAAAGGATCTTTGAGTTTGGGGTGGACTCAATGGCAAGGACAGCAAATAGTGTAGAGTGAATGCAAGATTGGCAAATACCCTACCCGCTCCTGCCTCAGTCAGAATTTTCATGGTTAACTAAGGATAGAGTTTCAGGATGCAGGGCCATCATCTCTAGCCTTCAAGTGCTTTGTAGAGAAGGAGGGATCATAAGCAGTGACCTAGACAGGAGACAGATCCTCCTTTGATAAGTTTCCCTCCCACTTTTCCCACTCCCACCCTTCTTGACCTCCAAGCCACCATCAAGAACCGGGTCAGTTATGTCTAGGAACTTACCTTGCTTTGTTCCCCAAATCACACTTCGCCCCACTCCTTCGCTGCTAGACTTTTTCCTCTTTGAGCCCCATCTTACAACAGCCTTCTGTTCCCATATCAACCTTGCCTTTTTCAACGCTTTGTGACTTCAGCTGTGACCTCATAGAGGTGGGACAACTTGCTCTGCCTCCCAGCCACACCCTAGGCTCCAGTCAATCCAAATAATAATGGTAAAATGGAGGAATAATGTTGTGGGATTTTAGTTTTAATTTCTGGCAATTTAATGCTTCTTCATTGCTTTCTACCCATTGCATTAGAAATCCACTGATTCTGAGAGATGACAGGAATGAAGCCAGAAGAATCCAGTTTTTACTTTGAATTTCAAAATCAGGTCTGAGAAATCTGGCTTTCAATTTCAAGAGCTATGGGACCTGGAAGGTTCTATCTCAGGTCCTGTCTGCCTAAACATGCTATACCACAATTTCCACTTCGCTATGACCTCCCCATGCAGACTCAGTGCCCTCTCTGAGGCTGCTCCTCCAGGGGTCTAGTTTCAAGGGAGAAGCTGACCCTTGGTTCCTTCTGTTCTTAGATGTAGTTGATTTTTAGATCCTACAAATAAGTGAGAACATGCAATGTTTGTCTTTTTGTGCCTGGCTTATTTCACTTAACATAATAATGTTCCATTCATGTTGTTGCAAATGGCTGGATCTCATTGTTTTTATGGCTGAATAGTACTCCATTGTGTATTTATACCACAGATTCTTTTTTTTTTTTCAGTTTACTTTTGACAATTCCATTTTTTCCCCTTTTTTATTGTACTTTAGGTTCTGGGGTACATGTACAGATCATGCAGGATTGTTGCATAGGTACACACATGGCAATGTGGTTTGCTGCCTCCATCCCCTAGTCACCTACATTTGGCATTTCTCCCCATGTTATCCCTCCCTGACCTCCCTATCCCCCACTGTCTATCCCTTGGCATCCCCCAACAGACCCCAGTGTGTGATGCTCCCCTCCCTGTGTCCTTGTGTTCTCATTGTTCAACACCTGCCTATGAGTGAGTACATGCGCTGTTTGATTTTCTGTTCTTGTGTCAGTTTGCTGAGAATGATGGTTTCCAGATTCATCCATGTCTGTACAAAGGACATGAACTCATAATTTTTTATGGCTGCATAGTATTCCATGGTGTATATGTGCCACATTTTCCTTGTTCAGTCTATCGTTGATGGGTATTTGAGTTGGTTCCAGGTCTTTGCTATTGTAAACAGTGCCACTATGAACATATATGTGCATCTGTCTTTATAACAGAATGGTTTATAATCCTTTGGGTATATACCCAGTAATGAGATTGCTGGGTCAAATGGGATTTCTATTTCCAGGTCCTTGGGGAAGCACCACACTGACTTCCACAATGGTTGAACTAGTTTACACTCCCACCAACAGTGTAAACAGTGTAAAAGCGTTCCTATTTCTCCACATCCTCTCCAGCATCTGTTGTCTCCAGATTTTTTTAAGGATTGCCATTCTAACAGGTGTGAAGTGGTATCTCAATGTGGTTTTGATTTGCATTTCTCTAATAATCAGTGATGATGAGCATTTTTTCATATGTTTGTTGGCCTCATATATGTCTTCTTTTGAAAAGTGTCTGTTCACTTTTGAAAAGTGAGCTAAAGATCCTAAATATATACGCACCCAATACAGGAATACGCAGACATACAAGACTTATAAAGAGACTTAGACTCCCACATAATAATAGAAAATTAACAATGATATCCAGGACTTGAACTCAGATCTGGAACAAGTAAATGTAATTAACATTTATAGAACTCTCCACTTTAAATATACAAAATATACACTCTTATCAGTACCACATCATATCAACTTAGAAGTTTAAACAAAATGTTGGTTGCCTCCTTGTTTGTTATTCTCTTCCCTCATTTTCTTTTATATCTCCATTATTAAGGACAATTATAGGCGTACCCATATTTAGATTGCATTCTAGCGCAGGCAATAAAGCAATACCCCCATCCTCTCTCCCTCTTTCTCTTTCTTCCTCTTCTTTATTCTTTTTCTTATTAAAAAAAAAGAAAGAAAGAAATGAAGTTCTAAAGAGTGCTTCAGAATGAGAAAGAAAAAAAAAAAAAAGAAATCTGACCAACATCAAATTTTTGACAGCAATGCTTTATGTCAAAAGAAAATCGGGTATCATATTTATGATACTCAAGAAATGTAAGCCAAGGGTTTTGTATCCAGAAAGACAGACTTGCATGTATAAAAGGCAAACACAAAGGATTAAATTTGTAAGAACTCAGGGTATATTTTTCCCATGAGCTCATTCTGAAGAATTATTAGAAAACAAGCTTCAGAAAGTCAAAATGATTAAAGAGGTACTATTATAAGGTCTAGCTACAAAACAGTTACTAGAAAAATTAAGACTAAATGAGAGTCAAAAGCAAAAGCCCAGTAAATAATTGTTGTGTGTTCAAGAATTACATATAGCACAACCATCAAACGTTAAAAGAAAAAAAAAAAAAAAAAAAAAGAACTTATTCCCATAATTCTATCAGGCACCATGGCCAAAAAATCCAAGTCCTACTAAGTATCTCTCTGTCTCCCATACTAGTAATCAAACGTTGCCTGAAGGACAGACTTCAGAACTCTTTTTGTTTCAACCAGAGGGTTATAGTTATAAAGGGTATATACTGAGCAGATAAATGCTATAAACAAAATTGCCCTGTGGAACATCAAAATCACTTAATATGCTCAATTGCTTTCAAAGCATGCATTGCAGAGAAACGTTATGCTGATTACCAATATTATAATCTACTCATTAAGGAAAGTCTCTAAGGGCTTCTACAAAGGAACACCTCATGACTGAGTTTAAGTTACTCTTTTTACTTGAAAATAATGAAGCTACCATTCTTTTAAAAATTATCTAATTTAGGTTTGTCACTCATTTATACTGTGCTTTTCTGCAAGGGCTCCAAATGAAAAAGGCTTTGGAAAAAAAAAAAAAGAAAAGTGTCTGTTCATATCCTTCTCCCAATTTTGAATGGATTTGTTTGTTTGTTTGTTTTTTCTTGTAAATCTGTTTTAGTTCTTTGTAGATTCTGGATATTAGCCCTTTGTCAGAGGGGTAGATTGCAAAAATTTTTTTTCCCATTCTGTTGGTTGCCGGTTCACTCTAATGATTGTTTCTTTTGCTGTACAGAAGCTCTAGAGTTTAGTTAGGTCCCATTTGTCTATTTTGGCTTTTGTTGCCAATGCTTTTGGTGTTTTAGTTGTAAAGTCCTTGCCTATGCCTCTGTCCTGAATGGTTTTGCCTAGGTTTTCTTCTAGGGTTTTTATGGTGTTAGGTCTCATGTTTAAGTCTTTAATCCATTTGGAGTTAATTTTAGTGTAAGGTGTCAGGAAGGGGTCCAGTTTCTGCTTGCTGCACACTGCTAGCCAGTTTTTCCAACACCATTTTTTAAACAGGAAATCCTTTCCCCATTGCTTGTTTTTGTCAGGTTTGTCAAAGATCAGATGGTTATAGATTTGTGGTGTTTTCCTCCGAGGCCTCTGTTCTGTTCCATTGGTCTATATCTCTGTTTTGGTACCAGTACCATGCTGTTTTGATTACTGTAGGCTTGTAGAATAGTTTGAAGTCAGGTAGCATGATGCTTCCAGCTTTGTTCTTTTTGCTTAGGATTGTCTTGGCTATGTGGGCTCTCTTTTGGTTCCATTTGAAGTTTAAGGTGGTTTTTTTTTTTTTTTTTTTTTTTTTTTTACCAGTTCTGTAAAGAAGGTAGCTTGATGGGGATAGCGCTGAATCTATAAATTGCTTTGGGCAGTATGGCCATTTTTCATGATATTGATTCTCCTAACCATGAGCATGGAATGTTTCTCCATCTGTTTGTGTTCTTTCTTATTTCCTTGAGCAGTGGTTTGTAGTTCTCCTTGAAGAGGTCCTTTACATCCTTTGTTAGTTGTATTCCCAGGTATTTTATTCTCTTTGTAGCAATTGTGAATGGGATTTCACTCATGATTTGGCTCTCTGTTAGTCTGTTGTTGGTGTATAGAAATGCATGTGATTTCTGCACGTTGATTTTGTATCTTGAGACTTTGCTGAAGTTGCTTATCAGTTTAAGGAGATTTTAGGCTGGGATGATTGGGTCTTCTAAATATACAATCATGTCATCTGCAAATATGGACAATTTGACTTCCTCCTTTCCTAATTGAATACCCTTTATTTTTTTTTCTTGCCTAATTGCTCTGGCTAGAACTTCCAATACTATATTGAATAGGAGTGGTAAGAGAGGGCATCCTTGTCTAGCACCAGATTTCAAAGGGAATACTTCCAGTTTTTGTGCATTCAGTATGATATTGGCTGTAGGTTTGTTGTAAATAGCTTTTATTATTTTGAGATATGTTCCTTTAATATCTAGTTTATTGAGAGTTCTTAGCATGAAGGGCTGTTGAATTGTGTTGAAGGCCTTCTCTGGATCTATTGAGATAATCATGCGGTTTTTGTCTTTGGTTCTATTTATGTGGTGGATTACATTTATAGACTTGCATATGTTGAACCAGCCTTGCATCCCTGAGATGAAGCCTACTTGACTGTGATGGATAAGCTTTTTGAAGTGCTGTTGCAATTGGTTTGCCAGTATTTTTGCATCTATGTTCATCATGGATATTGGCCTGAAGTTTTCTTTTTTGGTTGAGTCTCTGCCACATTTTGCTATCAGGATGATGTTGGTCTCATAAAATGATTTGGGAAGGATTCCCTCTTTTTGGATTGTTTGGGAAAGTTTCAGAAGGAATGGTATCAGCTCCTCTTTGTATGTCTAGTAGAATTCAGCTGTGAACCTTTCTGGACCTGGACTTTTTAAGGTTGGTAGGCTTTTAATTGCTGCCTCAACTTCATCCCTTGTTATTGATCTGTTCAAGGTTTCAAATTCTTCCTGGTTTAGTCTTGGGAGGGTGCAAGTATCCAGGAATTTATCCATTTCTTCCAGGTTTATTGGTTTATGTGCATAGAGTTGTTTATAGTAATCTCTGATGGTAGTTTGTATTTCTGTGGAATCAGAGGTAATATCCCCCTTTTTGTTTTTTATT